ATGTCACTGGAATAAAACGACGCGGTACAGCGGTGAGAGTGAATAAATCGAGTCTGATTCTGCATAAAATAGTTCCAACTTGTGTTATGTGGCTGTCTGTAGCGACCATTTCAGTCACCCTTAAAAGGACCACGTGGTATTATTTTGTTGTTGTTTACGTTGAACCCAAGACACACACGTGCCACTTTGTATATTTATATATGTGCTGTGTGGCTCTGCGATGTGTATTTTGGGTTGTAACGATTGTCCGACATTCCTCTCCACATGCTTGGGAGGATGAATCCGGTTTTTGGAGCTCAACGTCGTACATTGTGCCAAACGACGTGTCCCTGTACATCCTGGAAAGACATCGGAGAGTCGCAGACACACGTGGCTTGTGGCTGCAATACGTTCACGAAGAGTTGTTATGGACAAAGTGAAAGACAATTCGGTTTCGAGAATGCTAATGAAGACATATAAGTTTACGATTTCAGTTTGAATTCATATTTAAACGTGTTACGTACATTTTCAAAAATATGAGATTGGATTGAATTCAATTATTCGCATGAATTTGTTCACATGCAGCATCAAAAATATGAAAGCATTAACAATAAATGTTGCATCAATTCGACAATACACAGGCAATAGCCACAGCACTCAACACCACTGTGCGGCATTTCACTGGTAATATTCTCAGTTTTTCTGCATTGAACGCATGAGAAACAAACAAAAAAAACATGCGATATGCCTAATTTATTAACGGCACGTATACATATTTTAAAATGACGAATTAATGACACGTTCCAGATAAAAATGTATCAAAATTATAATGGAATTGCTAATAATTATGCCTCCAGTGGCAGAAGGGGGGAAATTAATATGTTTGCAAGAACAAAGTGGGACCTTGGCAAAGGGAGAGGATGGATGGACGAATGCATAAGAAGTCTTCTTAACCCCCTCCTCTAATTGGCACTTCTGGGCCCTTCCGGAGAATTAAATGTATTCGTACATCAAGCTTGAAGGGATACGGCGATCTAATTGTACGCACGGTTCAAAACAAACTGCAAGTATTAAACCTCAGGCTTGAATACATGGCAGGTTCCCGCAGGAAATGCGTGCAGCACACAGTGTGGTGCAGGGGGGAGGAGGAGGAGGAGGGAGTACTTTACAATCTTGGCGTGACCATGAGTCACGCCGACTATAACTCAGTCAAGCCCTCTGCCCTCTCTCTCTCTCTACACTGAAGAATGACCATTGCCCTAAACATCAACCTGCTGTATAGTTTTCCATTATAAACCAGACAAACTTGCTGAGTGTGTGTGTGTTTTTTTTCATTTGACAATCACAAGATTGCGAGTTCGTATTCCTTTGCTGCGTTGACTCGGTCCGACGCCGTTCTACGACCGATAAAAAAAAAATCTTTACTACGTTGGCACACCATCATCGGTACTGGTGCTGTGGAGAAGTTGGCCCCAACCATAGGAATGTGGAATTATTATCACTGACTCAAGGCCGCAAAACATGAACACAGCCCTGCACTTGTTTTAGAGCGTTTTTTTTTTGCACGGCATAAATGTTTTGCCTCTGTGTGTATTTTATATGTAACAACTACATCTCAATCACATTAATGTCACTGAAGTAGGCAGGCAGACGCGAGGGAGGTTTACGAAATAAAATCATTTGCAATGGAGACGATGCAGGCAATTAAATCATTCTCATAACCGTGATTTCAAATAAAAAAAAACAAAGCCTGTTTGTCAGCAGTACGTGTGGATCAGTGCCTGTGTGGCATCTTCAGTGTAATCTCTCTGTAGATCTATAAAATAAGTTCCCTGGAGATGTCAAAGGGGGGGGGATGTTTTACAGAAGGCTCAGTTTGGCTGTGGTGCTGGATATCAATCAGATGAAATATGTGACATTCATGCCCCATTTCATGCCCCATGTACTCATCCCATGTGTGCCAAATCCCGCGTTGCTGTGCAGTGTCCTTGCGGTACGTGTGACAGATTTACGTAATTAGTCTTAGGCAGATGCCATTCATTATGATGTTCTTACAGCTAAATCTTGCAACGAGGACAAAGATTTGCGTGGATCGTGTGTGTACACACACATATAAATGTGCTGTATTGTGTGAGCGCGTGACCACATGCGGTGAACCTGTACCGCTCTGTGGGTAGTCAACAGTCGATGTTCTATCGAAAGCCATTCTCACCATAGCAGTAGGAAAATTCTGCCAATGCTGGGGCTGATGGTGAGAATGAGCCCTGCAGAACCTTCAACCGCTATAGGGGATAACTGGCTGCTGTGACTGATTGAATGAGTAAGGAGGTGATGTTGCTCTTTGAATCTTTCGGTCAAGTCACGTAGATAATAAAATAAAATAATTATTATTTTCTACGTGACTTTACCGAAAGAACCAAAGAGTAATTCCTGCGGTTACGAAAGCTTCGAATCGAGGTGTTGTTAAATAAATAATTGCTCCCTAATTGTTAGCGCATTAATAGGTCCGCAAATATAGCCAAGGTCAAGTTGAAGTTTTTTTTTTTTAGAGTGACTGTGAGATGATGTTTGCTGTTGCGAGGCCTGAGCCAGTGGTGAAAAATGTGTCTGCATTTCTACGAATCAAATTCTGGAAATTACTAATCAATGTCTATTGCCATTGTGCCTAGACAGGGGAGACTATGACAAAAGACTCCGTGGAAATCGATGCACTCGGTATAAATTAATGCGGTCAGCTAAGCCCTCACACAAAGAGGTCTAAATAAGTTTGATAAATATTTAGAAATAACCATTTAGAAACAGAGAAGAGCCTCGCTAGATTACGTAATAAAGCACCAACATACATGTTAACATGGGGGTTAGACAAGGGGACAGTGATGGAGGCCTTCATCCAGCAGTGGATTGATCACGGCTGATGATGATGGCTGGAGCTTGTGTTTACATAGACCGGCCACTACTGACTTACAGAACAGTGGGACTTTAACACGTAGCAGGCTTTCACGAACAGTATTATTCATAATAAAGTTTTTGGGTTAGATCACGTAAGTATAAATGTGTCGTAACCCTCCACCACACGACACACCGGTGGGCTGAAGTAGTAACTAATTGGCGCGTTGTTTACGTGACAAACCTTACTGGCACCACAAAGTAGTTTTTGTTCCTAAGATGTTTCTTTTGTTAGGAAATGTATATTGAAAGCCCGCGAAATGTAAACACGATAGAAAATGAGTAATAACCAAGAACATTACGGTTTTCTGAATGTTTGAAACTTCATTTTTCCTCCATGTGGATTACGACGGCGCTCGTAATTAAATGCAAATTTTTCATGAGCGTTTTGCTCTTGGCTTTCAATTGTTTAACAATTGAGACCAATCGTTTCATCAATTTTCTTGTTTAAATTACATGCCCTTCTTGCCGCTGGCCTTGCATTCGCTTCAATTACCTGAAGGTTGTTTCTATGTCATCTCGTGAAGGGGGGGGGGGGGGGGAACTGCTCCGCAGGTTAAACTTGGCCACTCGAGAGCTGTTTGTATGACAGTTAAATTGGCAATAAATTGTGGTGCCTCATACATACGGCGGCGAATGCGCAATATTTGTGTCACCTACACAGGTTAAAGTGTTGCATTTGACACGAATCCAATTTATTCATTGTCAAAATTAAGTAGCAACTGTCCTTTATTGACATTTTTTACATTATGGAAATGGCTCCATTCGGAGAGCATCCCAGAGATAGTAGGCGCTCGACATTAAGGAGCAAAAAATACCACTTGATCGACCCAATATAGCAGCACGGAAGAGAATCTGGAATGGAAAGGACGGCCGCTGCTTTAGAATTTTGGATGCACATTTGTAAGCTAGGTTTTGCCACCTGATGATTGCCTACAGCGCCATCGGTCACGTGATTCTACATCTTGAGAGGAAGCGTTTGAGAAGCAGATCTGTAGGGGAGGACCGATGCATGCATCCTTGCATCTTTTATTATAATCCACGAAGCTCACAGTACAAGCGTGTATTATTTCAATTACATATTTTGTATTACTCTCTGTAAGATACTGACCCATTGTCGTGATAATATTAAAGCACCTGTTGAGAAGAAAGTGAGGGCAGACGACATCAGTGGGATATCTATAAAGTGATCACCGGAATCTTGACTTGAAGCTTTTCGTGACTGCAGACATTCATATTCAATATCACGACGTTTCGATCACAACACAAGCAATCGTCATCAGGTGAAAAAGGGGGGGGTTATGCGCAATCGTCATCACCTGATGACGATTACCTGTGCTGCGATCGAAACGTCGTGATGTTGTTATTATTTTATTTTTATAATGTTTTCTATCTGCGTGGCTTTACCTGAAAGACCCAAAGAATATGATCACCTGAAATTAATAAATAAATAATACAAAAGGTGCGATGAGGCTATACTTCTTTTGGTATAGCAACATGCTGATACATCACACCTAGGCGCGTGCTCCTCCGATTAGCATCGTTGGCTCCGTACGGTGCGACAGAAGTTCAACATACATACACACAAGGACATTGTGCGATTGGAACAATGAGCGATGAGGGAGAACCGGGCAAAAGAGGCACGGTGCAATTGGAGCACAGAGTGGCAGGGAATGGCGGCAGTGGTGGCGGGTGAAGGACAAATTGTTAAGCGGATGGGGGCTAGAGTTGCCACTTTGGAGGTACAAAAACACTTGGACATCATAAGAAGGGTATCTCACAATACCATTACACGTGAATGCATATTGAGTGGTGTATTATTTTGCAACTGACTAAAACCGGGACTCTTAATGTCCTGGGAAGATGTGCAGATTTTCCAGGACAGATACCTCAAAACGAGAACTGATCCTGGGGAAAACCATGAATAGGAGGTAGCTTGTGTTTTGGACGTCCAAAATCCAAACAATGCCATTGACCGACGTGATCGACCATCAGGATGCGACGATGACCACTGGCCAACAGGGCCTCCGCCTAACCCGGCAGGCTGGCACCCTCTGTGTACGCCCCCTCGGCAGGGCATGATGTACCTGGAGGAGCAGCGCTTGGTGCACCGTGACCTCGCCGCTCGGAACGTGTTGGTGAAGACCCCGCAGCACGTGAAGATCACAGACTTTGGGCTGGCGCGTCTGCTGGACGTGAACGAGGTGGAGTACCATGCCGACGGTGGGAAGGTACGTGATGGACCGTCTGAACACCGGGGGTGGTGGGTACTGGCCTGCAAGATATAGTGGTTTGGAGGCAGGGGTCCGTGGAGTACGCAGAGATGGAGCCATCAGGCTTGAGGCACCCCTGAATGGCAATACGTCTCTGTGAATAAGCACCAAATCAAGTACATGTAGGTTTAATTTGCTTCTTACCTTCCATTTTCTCAACAAATTTGGACATTTTAATTTGACCATTATTAGTTGGCAATTATTTTAACGCAGGTTGTTAGGTTCTGGTCTCTAAAATGGATTCAGCGACTTAATTTTATCGTAGCAAAAATCTGAGTTTCTTACCAGCGAGAAACACACCACTACTCGACTGGTATAGGCGTGGAGGAACACTTTAATGGGAAAGCAGAAAAAACTTTATAATTACGTCTTGCACAAATCCGCGTGAGACGATACTCATCTCCTGTTAACACCCCTGCACCGGTGGTGAAAATTCCACATTCCTGTGCCAGGGATCATTCTATCCATTGAACAACCCCCGTGTACTTTCCAAAGACTAGTACTTTTTATGAAAAAAAGAGTATTCTAATCACACTGCCACCTGGCCACGTAAACATTTCCACAACATTACTGTTAAATATTTGGTAGACGCGTTGACTTTGATTGTTGATAATAGTGAAAAAATCCTTTTACCTATTTCATGCATTCCATTGCTAATTATCTCCCATTACAAAATGTAAAAATAAAAGAATGAACATGAAAAACTGCTCGCAGATGTGTTTGATAAATACACACCAGAAATTTCATTCTGATTCGCACATCTATACATCATCTATACATCATCTATACATCTATACAAATGCCTCCATGAGAGTCAATGAGGTTGACTGCAGTGCTAATGAGGCATGCATGGACAGTTGTATAAACACCGTCATGGGACATCACATGTGGAAGATGCCATCTCTTGCACTGACACACCTATAGACTCATTATGAAGCAGTTCCCTAACCCAAAACTGATGCACAGGTGGACTGTGCATATTGAACCTCGCGGGGAGGAATCGGGCACAAGACTGGCCCTGAATTAATTTGAAGAATTGTCTAAATCCCTTAAGTGTAGGTGATGGCTTTGAAAATGACATTGTCATGGATGAAAGGAGTTAAACTTGGAGCTAATCAGTGTGCATGTGTATGTACGTGCTTGCTGGTTTCTGTATACGTGCATAGATTCATACAATGTGTTTGTGCGCACATTTGCCTAGGTGTGTGTGTGTAGGGGGAGCGGTAGTTCAACGGTTAGCGCTCTGCGCTGTGAACCCAGCACCCTGAGTTCGATTCCCGCTCACAGCCATCACCAGTGACGATTAACTGAACCAGTCGCGCGCAACGAATGTGTGTGTGTGTTAATCTGGGGTGGGAGTATTCGTGGAGTGCTTAGCACACTGCACTACGAACCTGGCGACCCGAGTTCAAATCCCAATGATGAACAACAACAGTGACGATTATGTGAACCGGTCCTGGGCCTCTGCTAGATCGACTCATCCTCAATTGCGCACCTGGTGGGGTGTGTAAACATCGCCACTGGGGAGACAAAGGCGGCCGTGCGTGGTGCTGACCACCCACCCCCTCGTGTGCCATGCCGGCCTTCATAGGTGCTCGCTAACAGCACTTGCCCCAACGGTCTTTTAAGGTCACACAGGGGATCTTTGTCTGTTTTTGTGTTTCTACACTTCGTATGTATTTGGGGGAAACATGCAACGTTGTGCTTAAGGAACTGCAATCTGAGGTACCTGGGTTGAATTCCTAACCATGCAGGCTACAGTGACAAATGGCATCATTACCAGGCACGGCCTCCCAAAGGCCAACTTGGCCTGAAATTGGTATCTAGCGCAGCGTGTTAAGGAGCAGGACTGGGAGGCGGGAAGACGCGAGACCTCGTGCATCTCTTGCGGAGAGCCACAGCCACACCAGGTGCTCCCCAACATAGCCCTTTACACCGCTCGATTTGCGTAACAAGCTAATATGTCACTTTTATTCATTGCCACGTTGGCTTAGGGTGTGCATGCATATGTATGTACGTACACATACACATTTGTATTATAAGGAGATGCGGTGTGGTGTTCATCACATTGCATTTCTTGTGACTGTCGGTTCAATTCCAAGTTCTGCACCCAGGTCCATTTACATTCTGATTCCAAGGCTTCATTTACATCGTCACAAAGTGTCTACATCCTCCAACTCATGTTTGCTGGTAATAATCCCAAATAGCTGCCCGGATCCCATGGAGTAAATTCTACATTGCCATGGTGCGTGCCAGTGGTTATTAGCAACGGGACGAGCGTTCTTTATACCCCACAATATGGACCCATTGTATTGACCCTGAAGCAACGAAGTGCTGAGTCAACCCTCAAATGGAATATTAACTCAGCCTTACAATTGCAAGTCGAGCAGTCTGAGGCATTGAAAACCACCCAGCCAGATTCGATTTGGTTGCCTCGACTAAAACAGCAGTTAGAATTCACAATGCTTTTGTCAATCCAGTGCTGGATGTAGGCCTCCCCACATTGTGCGTCGGTTGACCATACTTCACAACCCTGGTCAGTGCTGGTTGGCGATAGAGGGGGGGGGGGGGGTGATAAGACTCAGATCTAGTTATACAAAATGACTAGCCACTGGGCCACCACTGCATGGAGTATATTGAGTTCATCACCGAATATTTCACAAACTTCACAGACAGGTACCATACTTTGAATGAATGTTCATGCTGTTGTTATTATTATGTATGTTGTTGTATTAGGACCGTTGGCTTTGGAAATTATTCCACTAATGCATCGAAAATTGTTGTGTTCTGTAGATGCCCATCAAATGGCTTGCCCTGGAGTCGATTCAGTACCGGACCTTTACCCATCAGAGCGATGTCTGGAGCTATGGTGAGTGTTGTGGAGCTATGGTGAGTGTTGTGGAGCTATGGTGAGTGTTGTGTAGCTATGGTGAGTGTTGTGGAGCTGTGGTGAGTGTTGTGGAGCTATGGTGAGTGGTGTGGAGCTATGGTGAGTGTTGTGGAGCTATGGTGAGTGTTGTAGAGCTATGGTCAGTGTGATGGAGCTATGGTGAGTGTTGTGGAGCTATGGTGTGTGTTATGGAGCTATGGTGAGTGTGATGGAGCTATGGTGAGTGTTGTGGAGCTGTGGTGAGTGTTGTGGAGCTGTGGTGAGTGTTGTGGAGCTATGGTGAGTGTGATGGAGCTATGGTGAGTGTTGTGGAGCTATCGTGCGTGGTTAGCAGTGGCTTCTTACTAACTTTCAGATGCAGTTACATTTAAACACTCTACACACACAAATTGTACCTACTGTATTCTAACCAGCAGCTTTTATAACATATTTTGCGATACTCATTGTCAGTATTAATTCTGAAATATTGACAATGCGTAGTTACTCTTCGGCAGTTGATGTATGGTGCAGTCGTATTCTGTGACGATACAGTACATCATCTCAATGCAGCCACACCTTAAGATAATACTGGACATCTGTTTTAAAAAAAGCTTTATAGCTCATCGGATTGCTCCAGCCTAAACCATATTCTAATTCTGATGTACAGAGGTAGGGGACGACATGTGGTGCTTGGTGGGAGGGAATAGAAAATGGCACAATACAGAGAGGAATGGGGGGGGGGGGGGGGGTTGAGCAACTACGTGGTGAGAAGCGCTCGTAGGCCACGAGGAAGGGCGACAAAAGGTCTTCAGCCTATACTCAGACGGAGAAAAATAAGTTCCGAATGCAAAAAGAGGGAGGGAACGGGAATTCCAAACGACGTTGGCAGCAGAGCGGAAGGAGCGAATTTCCATTGAGCAGAGAGGATGGCTTAGGGATTCGACAAGAGGGCAAAGGGAAGGGAGAGGTAGCCAGAGTTTGACGGGAACAAATGGGCAACTCACCCAGTCATAATGAAGGGTAATCCATCTATCTTAAATACGTGGAGGATTTGTGGAGATACTGAGAGCAATCTTATAATTGATCTGGAATTGGATCAGAAGCCAGTGGAGGGATTGCCGTCAAGGGGTCTCATTTTTAGGTACAGGTGCAAAGTTGGCTGGCAGTGACTCGTGTGGATCATCCCGAATTCAGCTCTGAGAGATTTGAAAGCTGTAAGAGAGGATTGCAGTCATCCAGGCGGGATGTGGGCTGTAGAGAGAGAGAGAGAGCTCTGGATCAATGATCACTTTGGGGTTTTCAAGTGGACAGTGAGACCTGAGACTTTTTTTGATGATGAGAATTAATTTAGTTTTTTTAGAACATGCAATTGCACAAAATATAAATGGATCCAACCGTCGATAACGCAGTGAATATTCCCCATGTCCATTCTGGCAGAGGCCCTTCGTTTTGGAACAAAAAATACAGCAACCTATGGGTTGGATGATGTAGCAATAACCATACATTGCCTCACCAAAAAACATTTACCCATTGCCATATGTATGGTACATGTTTTACATACGGATCACCAAATTACATGGATGATGGGGATTGTTTAAATTACCTACTTGATGTTTCCAAACTGCAAGCTTCTGTAATTCAGTCACCATTTAGCCGCGTAGTGGACACCGACCATATTCAGTGTGACACATAGGAGGGCAGCATGGCGAGTACAATGCCCAGCCACTTTCGTCTCGTCATTGCTGATATTCATATACTGCATCAGATACTCATTTGAGACTGAGTTGACCCAGTGGAGGCCCAGGAAGGTTCGGACACCGCTTGCCATTGAGATTGTGCTTAGCCAAGCGTTGAAGTCAGATCGTCAGGGTCGTGGCGTAGTGCACAACCCACCGAACATCAAATCCCGATGCACAACTGTGTGTCGACATGCACCCAGTGCATGTTGACAAAAGATCCTCCGTATACCCTTTACATTCTTTTGGGGCAAGTGCTGTTAGTATGTGATAAAGGGACATCTCATTTAGGTTGTTTTCTATATTGGCAGTGATAAAGTGGAAAATAAGATGCCTTTTTTTGTGAACAGTTGCCGTAAGTGAGTCAATTAGCACACCGATTATTTTTTTATACGTGTTAAAATATTTAACTTAGATGATCCCATTTTCTAGGGTGTCCAGGATGTCAATTGACACACACAGTAAACAAGTAAGAACATGGACACAAACATTTAAAATCATCCAATGGCAGTGGTATTCCACCGACACTGCTGAAATCCTGTTCTTTTAGAGATAGGTGGTGATTCATCTAATCGTTCTACACGTAGCCACGACAATTACCATTACTGCCTCTGAAGTGCAGGGTTACTATTATTATTATTAAAATAATCATGTATTCCGCTTGTTTACCCAGAAAAAACTTTACTGAATCTCAAGAGTCGATATTCTGGAGGATCCTGCCGAGTGCACAACAATAGGGGGGGGGGAGGGGGGAGGGCGATGTTGCAACTTACAAGTAATCACAATTGAGCAATTTGCGGATAATCTGAATCATTTGCAGGTTTGGCCAAAAAATTGATGCTGTGCGTGTTTTTTTAGGGCGCTGCAGTGGCAAGATGTTAAATCCCTCGCCTGGTATACAGGAGCTTGTGGGTTCGATTCCGACCCTGACGCCTGCTGTATATTTGGAGGTTGCATATTCTTCCCGTGTTCGTGTGGATTTTTCTCCGGGTCCTCCGGTCTTTTTCCTCCACATTTATAATCGACGTGCGTTTAGAGTATTTGGCTGCTATAAATTCCCACGTGATAAGCCACTTCGTTGAGCTAACATGTGTGGCCAGGTCGCTCCTGAAACAGAGCTGTATATAGCTCAGTGGGCCTTACCCGGTAAAATAAAACAAAAATAGTTAAAAAATATATATATATACTTTTAGTTAAAATAGTTGTAAGCCGTACAAGCGGGATCTTTGCAGGAGTGACCATCTGGGAGCTCATGACGTTTGGAGGCAAGCCTTACGAGGGCATCTCGGCGAGGGACATCCCAGAGCTGCTGGAGAAGGGGGAGCGCCTCCCCCAGCCGCCCATCTCCACCATCGACGTCTACATGATCATGGTGAAATGTACGCATCTCACCTACCACTTGGTGGTTCATCGTCACAAGTCATCCGAACACGACTTGGTGTCAGTCATCTGACCGGGTCGTGATGTTGCGGAACACCTGAACCCCCCCCCGCCCCCCCCCCCCCCCCCCCCCCCCCCATTGGAAGGTCACATGTTCAACTCAAACATGTTCCCTTTCAGTGAAAGTCGGCAGTGGTTGTCCAAGCATATGGAATTTAACCAAAGTTAAGCACTGTCCAGAAATTGTTTGCTCGCTCGTGAGTCAAAACTTCTGACAATGATGATGGAGAAGCTTTCCCTGCAAATATCCTAAGAGCCATTGTTCGTGAATATAAATTCCACCGTATGTATTAATAGCCTTGCATATGTTTATTTATGAAATTGGAGGTAAGATTTCATCACGTATAGGAACTAAGATGGTGATTTCAATCTTAAGATTGAGCTGCTAAGCCGAGGATATTGTCAGCAGCTAATTTTGCAAAACTGAAGCGTTTTAAATGATTGCATTTTGTTTTCTTTGGTGGAATATGGGTTCCTTTCTCAAAAAACACTTGACCTCGTTTCATGATTATGCACGGGTGTGCGTCTCTTACTCTACTTCATCAATCGTTCGCTACTTTAGTAAATTAAAATATATATTTTTGTTGTATGTAGAAAAAAGGCACGTTATTCAAAACCATGATGTTGTTTAACTGAAAATAAGCCACTGTTAATCAGCAATTTAACACCACGAGCAGATGTGCTTTGATTGTCAACTTGCTGAAATGAAATTGGGGCTCACACTGAAATCTCAACAGCAATTAAGTGCAGGCAATAATCAAATGAATTAGATGAGGTTGCGTTTATTTTATCTGATAGATGGCACCGGCAGAACACTCGGTTCATATGTGCAAGATGACCATTTCAACTCCTAGTTCGGAGATCAACTCGGCCGATGGTATTTTTGGGGCTAATAGAGAGGGTACCACTTGTGGAAAGTCAAAGGTGATTATCACGTGAAATCGATGGCCTCTGTCATAGCAATGTGGAATGTCCTCCGTTAGTTAAATTCCACCAAGAGAGATGGGCACCACTGCATTCGTATTTGCGCAGGAAGTCGCTTTTTTCATTTTAGTTTTATCTTTGCCAACCACACATTAGCGCACATTCATGTAATCTGTGTAATACATTCATGAATGATTACTTTAATTATGGTATGGAGAAGTAAATGAAAACTAACATTTTAATTATATTAAAAAGTCTTATAGCTACTTAAAAACATATGGCCTTAAACACAGCTTGTGATAATACAACTCAAACGCAAACTTGTTTCTGAATATTATAAGCCTAATTAGAAATACACCGAGTCGCCAATGCAATTTAACAGTTAATTTATTCTTAATCTCATATGCTGCCTCATTTAATTAAGCATAAATACATTTTAATCCCTTCAGGGCTGGTACAGAGATATTTTGACAGAAGTTGGTCTGCACACAGACCCCATACCAAGATTATTTCCCATCTCATCCGATCAATGCACACTTAATATAACATTATGTTCATGTTATTGCTACTTTAAATGGGCATAACAGTATATACACACATACCGTCTTCTTAAAAAAAATCAGACGAACATCAGTGGTGAGTGATATTTGAACCGGTCATGGGCATCATGAATGTCCTTTACTTACCCAGATGAGAGTCCTTTGAGACGAATAATCTCCTCCTTAAGGGAGGTCGAGAGAACCATAATGATGACGCTCTTTTTTAATTCCTTACATAATTTACTGGGGCAGCAACGGGAATTAAACTATTGACTCCATACATTGACCATCTGATTATCCAAATGGCTATCCTAGGAGTAATTACGGGTTTAATGTCTGCATCGCAGCTTGAAAATGTCTTCGGTAAACGTAACGACAAAGACCTCTTTTTAAATGAATTCTGAACTGCTCTCAGACAGGCTGCAGTGGTCTAGGTCAGGGGTCAGCAACCGGCGGCTCTGGAGCGGTGTGCGGTGGCTCTTTAAGGACTTCTGCTTCGTGACGTCGTCGTTTATTAAGGATCCGCCACCGTCTCGTATACACGTCCATTGCGACTCTTGACATTTTGAGGGTTCTTTTTAATACCATATTACTCTTCTTGTTATTTTGGTTTGCCGACCCCTGGTCTAGAATGAGGCTCATAGACTAGTTTAGAGAGTACAATTACCATGAAATGTATACAATCAGAACATCGTGATGCCTTTATTATTTCCAGAAATGGGAAAAGCCTCTTTATTTTTCATCAAATGAGAACTAATTTGTGGAAAGTCAAAAGTGGTTGTTTCGTCGAGACCCTCGGCCCTTGGCAAGGGGATGTGGATGTTTTTACCACAGGCTCAGAGCTGCCAATAGTAATGGGCACCACACAAATGGTTCGTTTGAACAGATACCTCATAGGAACTATTTTCAAAGTAACAGCATTGATCTATACATTAAGTGTCTTTCAATGGCCATACTCAGCATGCAATATATCAAATTCCACTCGACAGTGTCTCCTTATACCAGCCTCTTCTACATCGCTGGAGAACTCGGCTTCTTACTTTCATTACCCTCTGTAGTCGAGTTACAAAACAGTAATCAGTTGGAACTGAAATTAGCTAAATATATATTGTCTTACCTTCATAAGAGAGTGACAATTTAGAACACTATTCGTTGGCCTGTTTTCTAGTCTCACAAAATGGTCACTTTCCACAATTCATTTCATATTGAAGATGTTCTTTCTCATAGACAAATACTGATTTATATTTATTTAAAAACATGCTTCCTCAAATACTGCCTGTTAAAAAGGGGCTGATCACATACACTCTCCCATTGACACACCTCCTCATACCCTCACTCAGTCAACACGCACTCACCCATTACCATCACCCCGTGAGTCACCGAAACCTCCACACCCTCACACGCTCACACGACTACCCCCACCACCACAGTACTTGGCAAGGCATCACCCCTCCACTGTCTCTCTCCCACGGATATCGGCCACCCACGTGTGGGAGCCCAACTCGCGAGCTTGTGTAACTACTCCCTTACACTCCACCCCCCACCAACCCCGTCTGAGCGTACGCCGCTGTACCTTCCCCTCGTTTGATTGTTTCTTCAATAAAATACTTCTGGTAAAAAGGGGGGGGGGGCTGGGTCTGTCAGCAAGTGTCACCTCTCTCGTACCTCCTGCTCAGCTGTTTAGGTCGTGCCGTGTATCATTGTGGAAAAAGGAAGTGCCGTGTTTGACAATGCTGATGACTACATTTTAAAAAAAAAGATTGGTATAATGCCACCCATTTGGGCACTCAAATGCGGGTGTTAAATGCACACATCAGCAAGACTGCAAAGAAGAGCTAAAAAACAGTATCTCTCTAGACATCTCTGACAATTTACATGATGTGCACGGGTAGCGTTGTGATTTGTAACGTTGAGATTAATATTGTAAGAGCCATCGTGCACGACACGCCGCTGCATATTTTATTACAAAAGTATAAAAAAAGAAATAATCTATTAAATTTCATGGCTATTTTGAAAATAATGTCAAAGCACTTGTTCTTTTTATTGTCATATAACAACGAGATGGATGATGAGGATGATGACGGTAGAATGATTAGATTTTATGCGATTTCCAGTCCCTTTATTCGTATGTTAATGGCCCCTTTGGTGCACATCGTTATTATAGCAAAGGGGTAATGCCCATTAAGAGAGTACTTTCTCTCCGAACAATATATCACGCCAAATATTACCCATAGCCGAAGGTAGACACTCATAGTGAAATTTCCAAGAGGGGGGAATGATCTTATCGACATGCACTGTGTCTTAAAAGTTGAACTGGGCAAGCATCGCTCACTGAAATGAAACCATTAACAGATTCATGGCGAGTGCTTTAAATGTTTGGAATTGCGCCTATTGGATTTTTGTCAGTAGCATTCAGGATAACACGTGAGCAATGACGGTTCACTTCTCTTTGGGTCAATGTTGACCCATTGTAGGATCACAAATGTAAAACAGAAACATGGCAGAGTGTGTTGTACAAGAGGGAGGGTCATCGAGCGGTGGACTGAGGAGCTATCGAGGCCGCTGATCGGTCTACGGTCGTCCAGTAGTGTCGTGAGGTCACTCACGGATGCAGGCTGCCCGAGTGGATGTTGGGAAGTCCTGGTGGGATGATTGTGTTCACTACAAACTGTCCCACCTGGTGCTCTCTTGCAAATGTATGCTTCGAATGTACTCAATTGTACACGTGTATTTTAATCACGATACAAGTCATGAGTAGCACTGCCCCGTAGCACGCAATGGAGATACACACCTTTGATTTATGATGCGAGGAGCACAATTGTGCTTTTACTTAGGCTGTTTTATTTATATTTGTGTAGTCTACATCATGGGACCTCCTTTGCCAGTACCAACATATGAGAATAGGGTTTTCCCCTTTAATCTGGCAACAAAACAGGTGTTACGTTGTTAAAACACCAAACTGAAACCTTTTACAAGGAATCATGTCTGCATTAACCACAATACTTGTGGTCAAAATGCAAACAAAAACATACTCTGATGATATATGCATTATCTTTGAAACTGATTGGTCCACACCAGATACAGCTTTCTTTTGAGCCTCGTCTCAAACGGTGTTAGACCAGTGCAGTCTAGTTTGCAATAGCAAATACATAACCTCACACAACCTTCAACCGATGTACATATATGAGCCCTGTTGTTCTGTAGGATATATGTCCATGCCCCTTTCCGCATGACTGTAAGTGTCATTTCCCATTTCATCTGGAGAAATATAACACGCGTTTGTGTGCTTTGATAGAAACGTCATAATGATGGTTGTAGCATTTGAATTAGTCTGTTCTCCTGAACATGAATGCACCGTGACCCAATCTGTCTGTTTTTGTGAACTCTAGGGGCTTTTTTCAGTAGGGCTCTGTGTTGACAATTGGTGCTTGCCAGTCTGCGTCTCTATGAATACTTAATCCTGCCTGCCTGTGTCCCTCTCTCTCCGTGCGAATGCTGCCTCTCCGTGCCTGCTCAGGCTGGATGATTGACGCTGAGAGTCGGCCTCGCTTCAAGGAGCTCGCTGTGGAGTTCTCAAAGATGGCACGTGACCCGCAACGGTACCTGGTCATACAGGTGAGCAGTGACCTCGCCATGCACAACATTCTGGCCTTCCGCCAGCTGGAATTCAGCAAGGTAAATGTACGCGTAATATTCGGCACTACCACCGCGCTGGTTTACGCAGCCGTGCTGTAAAGCTCTCCGTTGTGTTTTTGGGCTGCATTGACGCAACACGCCGCACAATCCGAATACGGATCGGAGAGCTGTTTTCTGTGTTTTAAATGTCTGTTGTTGAATAATTTCTGTAGTCGCGGAAATGTATCGGTGGACCTAAGCGAGTACTCGTATTGAAAATTCCACATTCAAATGACAGGAATCAATAAATTTTTAAAAGTCAATTTCTAGAACGACCTTTTGTCTACTCCCCCCATACACAGCGGCACCAAATGTATTGACCCCCATACACAGCGGCACCAAGTGTATTGACCCTGAAGGGATGATGGGCTCGGTTGAACCTTGAGTGGGATTTCAATTCAAGAACTTCCGATTGCTAGTCAAGTCTTGTGGCACAGGACTACCCATCCGGATATAATTACAATACAATGAGAATTGAGAATGTTTATTCGTGTAACTACATCTCAAGATGTGAAGCAAAAGTGGGTGACACACGCTGAGAGGTGAGTGGTGGCAAATGGTCAATAGGGGAAGTAGAATGGATGGAGGTGCATCATAGGTGGTGGCATTTGTCTTCAAGGCATATTATTAAAGTATGAGCCACCCAACATTGATACTGCATGGTCCATCGTAACACGGGCTGTTGTTGTAACGTTCTGGACCCGCCCCTAAGCATCGGGTTCCTGCTGCAATATAAATGAAGATTATGATTCTGACAGGCTGGCACCAGTAGCTGACCTGCTTGCAGGCGAGTTCCCCTCGTTGTATATGTAAGGGCTGCAGAGAGTAGCACGGAATGAAATCCTTGCACAACAGCAAGCATGCGGCTCTCCGCGCGCACCTCGCTCGCAACTTCGTCACGCGCTGCCTCCTAACGCAAGTGCCCTGCAACGTCCCAGGAAGCCACCAGCTGCCACCGAGGCCGCCTCTCCACTGTGCCCTCGACACAGGCCGTACATCGCTCCGCACGCAGCTCCCCGCGGTGCCTCGAAACCGCTGCTCCGTCCAGAAGTTGCGGCCGATCAATCATTCCGCTAAGCGGCCCAAGCGCCGGTGCCTCGCGCAGTTCCCACTGCGGCATCCCTTTGATCAGTGATGACCACTGCTCATTGCATTCTGCGATCGATGCTGGTCAGTCGCCTCTGCTGCGCCTTCGTAAATAGCTTCGACATTTCGGCAGGTGCTTACAATTGCCTCAGGTGTGAAGGAAGAGGAGAGAACGGTCCATGAAGGAGTGGGATGTGTGTGGAATGAAAGGGTCTAGAAACCTCGTCTGTGCGTTGGTGACGAGAGTGTCCGATGCAGTCCCATCATGTCCCCTGGTTTTTAGACCTCAGCGATGGCCACCCTGTGTTCAGTGAATGACCACAACCCTGCCCAAGATGCAAACAGAGTTGTGCTGATGCTGTGAAGTTAGTGTGCGTTTGTGTCTCTGTGTGTCTGTGTGTGTGTGTGCGGAGCGGTAGCGGAGCGTAGCTACGAACCTGGCGACCCGAGTTCGATTCCCGCTCACGGCCAAAATCAGTGACGATTATCTGAACCAGTCCTGGGCCTCCCCTAGGTCGACTCAGCCTCAAATGAGTACCTGGTGCGGTGTGTAAACATCGCCACTTGGGAGACAACGGCGGTCAGCCGTGGTGTTGGTCACCCACCCCCCTCGTGTGCCGTGCCGACCTTCACAGGTGCTCGCTAACAGCACTTGCCCCAACAGTGTGTAACAGGCTACACGGTGGATGTTTGTCTCTGTATCCGGTGCCTACAGGGAGATGAGCGCATGAGTCTTCCCATCCCCTCGGACAGCCGCTTCCTGCAAAGTCTGCTTGCGGAGGAGGACCTGGAAGACTTGGTGGATGCGGACGAGTACCTCATGCCGCAGCAGCCGTTCTTCAAGGACAGCTCCACTAATCCAGCCAGCACAGCCTCTGACGTGGTGAGGAACGGCCTGCAACGAAGGGAACAGAGAGCACATTGTATGTCTTGAAACGTGGCAACACGAGATGATGTGCTTGCTACATGTTCCTGCGGCTCGGGCTTATTGTAAATAAACAGGCCAGCGTATGTCAAGAAGCGGTTTTAAAACGCACCCATTAATACCGATTGGGTTAATCAAGTGCCTCTATGATCAAGCGAGAGCGTGGGGTGGTGCTCATATCTTTTTGTGACTTTGATTCATGGGTGTAAACATTCCTATGGTGGGGACGAGTCTCACCATAACTTAACCACTGTTGACTTCCTACTCAGTGGTACTTATGATCTGAAATTAACGATGGGCTGATTTCATTCCTGCTCGGGTTTTGACCTCACAAGGTTTCTGATTGTGAGTCACGTGCTGTAATCTGGGACCAACCAGAAAGTGTTGGTTTGATAATGATAATTCAAAGATTAAAAAATACGCTGTCTGTGATTAAGGACTGACAATTTTACCAGCAGCTTGAGCTTGGTCAGTAAAACTACACACACGCTCACAATTGGTCGTATGAAGATTTATTTCAGGAATGTCATCCCGCTAAACTCCCACCTGTCTGGCATGACTTTGGAGAGATACACTTTCTATTCAGAGTCCCCGGTGCCAATATCTTACTTGTGGTTGATCCAAGGCTACTGGTATGTGCTGTTGAAGATCACTCGAGATGTTTTTGGTATAACATACTTAATTGACCTGAAGCCACGGAGTTCAAACTGGTGTCTAATTATAACGATTTTATAATGTATGATACGTGTATGTACAGTGGGCTTTTCGATGGTCTCACTTTTGTATGTGGCTTTGGTTTCACAAGAGAAGGTATAAACAATTGAGTTCACATTTGTTAAAGAAGGGTAATTTATATAGGTGCAGGGATATTTTCATATTCGTGCCAACAAGGTTAAACGGTTGCACTGATCATTGAATGAGCCTTAACAGCATATGACAAACTAAATGTTGATGCATGTTAACGCATTCTACCGTAGGTGTGTTGGTACGTGATCTATTTCAATTGCACGTTCTGCATGCCGTAAGCGTGTTGCAGAGTGTGCATCTTGTCATATTGACTGCGCTAAGATGCCAGTCAGCAAGCTGCTTCAGTGCCCTCTGCATGTTGGACGATCTCAGCCAAGTAGGAATCGATTGCCGTATAATACTGCGCCAAAATGTGTGACAGCACTTTGTTCCATTCACACCGATCTTCGTGATTAATACGTCCAATGAGTGGGATTTTCGCAATTGCAAGTTAATTCTGCTGAGCTCTGGACCTTTTTGGTTTCATGCGTTCTGCTGCCCGTAATTGAAAACTAATTGACTAATTAGCTCAGTAAGCGTAAAGGTATGGACTTGACTGGCAAATCTTAAGACTGTGTTGTTGGTTGATGCCTCACATCAGTCGCTATATTCATGGATAACCTCTTAAATCCTTACAAAACGACATTCTATGAATATCGAGGAAATAGCTACAATTGTACATGCTATTTTTATATTTCTGTTTCCGAGGCTTTTGCGGTTTTAAAACTGAATTTTATAATTAAGAGCCTGTACTGTTGTGATTGGTTAGAGAAACCCAGCCAGTTGATTCTTTACCATCGCCACCAGAACAAGCATACATTGAATGGAATCGTGACCCAGAATTTTGACAATTTATTAAATTGTTATGGGGACCAATAGTTATTAGATACCTACCTTAATGTGGGCGACTGTTTGCTGGTGTCATGCCCCCAAATGAAAAGTATTAAACAATCTCCAAATAAACGTTATAAAAATAAAATGAACATCCTTTAACTTTGCTATAACTGCCGTGACACCTCGACTCTTGTGTAGAATGGATAACATTGATGGGCTATTGTCTCATCAAACAACAGGCATGGAATTTAATTGAAATGGATCTTTAGACTTTACACAGACAAATATCATACAACATTAATAAGGCAAGGGATAACCGAATATCAATACAAACATACTTAATGGAATCCCAACAAGAAACACTCTATCTAATTTATTAATTAGTAAAATGGCCAAAGGAAGCTTTTTAAAATTCACTTGAGAATAGACTGTAGGTCTTTAGATTAAATATAAATTATAAGATTAAACATGTTATGTAGACGTAGTGGGGAGGTTGAGAGGGAAGTCAGTTGTATTTACAATCTGGCTTTGTAAAGCAATTAATCTAAACGTATATTCAGGTGTTATCGACCAATTAATACGTCTTTACATGTGGGAGGAAATTGGAGCACCCAGAGAAAACCTACGCGTGTGAGGGGGAAACACTCTATCCCACATAGATGGAACATATACGGTAAAACCTTGGATTGCGAGCATAATTCGTTCCGGAAACGTGTTTGTAATCCAAAGCACTCGTATATCAAAGCACTCGTATATCAGTTTTGATCACGTGACGCTCGGCAGACAAAGCGTATACTTACTACTCGTATTGCAAGACCTCGCTCGTTTATCAAATTAATATTTACTTACAAATGTTTGCTCTTCTTGCAAAACACTCGCAGACCAAGTTACTCGCAATCCAAGGTTTAACTGTACATGTATGTTGAACTTCTTTCGCATTGTACATAGGCAACTGTGCTAATCGTAGGTGCGGGAACAGGTGGAGTCCACATTTTTGCTGCGTCACCTTCTCCTCCATGTCCACGGGAAGGGTGCTTCACAACAACCCTCACCTCCGGCAGTGTTGGATCACAGGCCACGCACATAGCCACCACTGTGAACACCTTGAATATTGGACTTGTGTATGCTGGTGATACTGTAGTTGATCGAAAACATAGCACATTTAATCTAGGTTGTGATACCTGATGATGCACTCACTTGAAAAACAAATCCATGGAACTTGTAAAATGGCTTTGATGTGTATATATGGCACCTCCAATTAGCGCGGGTGACTACGTATGGTGAGAAGTAAGTTCAACATACATACACACACACTGTACATACTACACACATCTGGCTGTGCCTTGCCAAAGGAACCACATAAGTTGTCGCATGCCATCGAGATTACCGCTCTTCTCGACACTCTTCCTATCCCAACTCTACATCGCAGCTGGTTCAAAATGCAGCTGCTTTTTGAATCCACAGAGTAAGGAGTTTGAGCACACTGCGCCAGATGCATTGGTTTACAGTTGAAGAAGATCTCAAATGTACCATGGGACTCATGATCGCTTGCAACCCATCTTCAGTTAGCACCATCTCCCGTCTGGTAGGTGCACAGATCTATCTCTGGCAGGTTCCGGTGATATAATCTGCGTCAAATTATCTTCAGCATTACGGACACATCTCGCCTCACCACTCTGGTTCTGGTCTTCTTCGTCCAATGTCAATTCAGGCCTTAAAACTTGGAGCATTAGTAAGGCATTTTAGGAAATTAGCAATGTTTTTTTAATGGTTGGTGGACGAATGCCGTATGGTTAATAGTTTAGAGCGCTGCAATTATGTACAAAAATAGGTTTATCGGTAGGTGCCTTGGAGTGGTTGTTTGATGAGAGGCACAGTGTAACACAGATGTATTATTATGCAAAAGGCATAAGGTCCACAAGAGATTGAATGTTAAAATAATTGCGTGTAATGTTCGTATTGACTGCCTCAATTAATTGACTGTCTGAATGAATATGCACAATGAACCGTATATTTATTATCCTCAAACAGTGGAGTTCCTCGTATCTGTGACAATTGACGACGTTCGTGGCCAGAATCTATCCACAGCTTCATCAAAGCTGCGTGTTGTAATCACCAGCGAAACGTCACAGTACTCAAGTTGTCGGTTTACTACTCCTAAACACCGGACCGGTGTGCTGGAGTAGTAACTAATTGGCAAGTTTTATTTACGTGACAAACCTTACTCATTGGTCTGTGTCGGGTGGTGGCGGGTAAACGACACATTTATATTTACGCGATCTAACAAAAAAAACTACTTTATTACTGATGACGTCTGTGAAGAATGCGAGTGAGGAAGCTGATCTTTTCGTCAACGTCAAAAAAACAAACGTGATGTCAACCAAGAGTATTGATCTTCTTTGGTTATTTCGGTAAAGTCACGTAGAATGAGAATAAAATAATAAATTGATAAAATAAAATAACACAATAATATTCTCACGACGTTTCGGCCACAACACAAGCGGCCTTCATCAGGTGAAGGGACGAGACTGTCTGGTAGGACAGCGCTGGAGTCACTCCAGCTGGAGTCACTCCAGCGCTGTCCTACCAGACAGTCTTATCAATTTATTATTTTATTCTCATTCTACGTGACTTTACCGAAAGAACCAAAGAAGATGAATCATTGCAGTCACGAAAGCTTTAAATCGAAATTCAAGAGTATTGAGTTCATGAATTGTGTTCTTTCTAATAGAAAAGGACAGAATATTTCAATTGAGTGGTTTCCAGTGGGTACGTCTTTAAATATAAGTCGTCAACAATTTTAGTGTTTTTTTGCCGAAATATACTGCTTTTTTATGTCTGATCGTAAATAGAAAATATATATTTACCAGGTTAATTAGTATATTTAATGAAAACTTTACCTAGCAAAGACAGGCTTTTTGAACTAGTGTATTATAATGACTTTCAAGTCTCTCACTATAGAGTATGTATGGGGTACTCTATCTCTTATATAACATGAATTACTCCGTGGAAAAAAAGAAGGCACGCTTATACGTACGTTACACGAAGTTTCCATGAACATAAAAGTGATATACTTTATCAATACAACATTCAGGACACTGCTGCAACAACAAAAGTCAGCAACATTGCCAGAGATTCCAGGAGGCATTGCTTCAGTGGGAAGAATGTATGACATCAAGTGGCCAATGTGCTGCAGTTGTATTTGCAGGAAGAATACATTCACGAGACACCACGGCGAGATGGTGAGAGCTATAGTTCAAGTTGCACGAATGTACGTCGAACTTATTTTTGCTGTGCTAATTGGAGGGGCGGAGAGTTATTGAATTACCTCCTTTAAAATCAATGTAGTTTGAATGATTAACGTGGCATGGGACGCGAACAGAAGCAGCAATGTTCAATGGACAATGAGCCATCTTGTGTTTTACCTTGGGTGTGTAAATTATGTTCCAATTTTTCTGCCAGTTTGGTGCTGTGGTTAAAGCATTCAACTTGCATCCCGAATGTTTCAAGTTCAGTTCCCAGTTTAGGGTCGACTCGGCCAATCATCCGTTTGGGTAGATACAATTATTCACTACTTTGCAGGAAGAAAAATCTATTATTCTAAGGAGTGACTGGACACCTGTCACAGGAATGTGGAATTTGCAATACTGGCTTAAGTGCACCAATGAGGGGGCAGATTATCCGTAAAATTATGCAGATTTTATCAACTCCGGAGGAATAATGGGCTTAGCCAACCTCCAACCTGGATTTAAACTCACGGCTTTTCCAGATATTGTTCCTGCTGTGAAGATTTTGCCCATATTGCGTAGCAACTTGCATTTATTTTTTGATTAGTAGAGGGAAGGCAACAAATGACAAATTGGAAACTTGGCATAGTTAGTGTAATATTTATGAGAACATGTTAACAAAGCAAATGGGTGCTCTTGAAGGTTATGTTTGCACCTCGGAGAGTTCAACCACCATCCCCTTTGCACGCTTCGCCTCAACGCAACACCGAGCTGATCCAATTGGGTCCTGAACCACATGCATATTCATCTGAAGAAGCCTCGTGGTTTGCTCGAGCTGATTAGGAAGGCTTCGTGAACCGGGATGCATTATACAGTAAGCGGCATCAGAGGCGTGGAACTTTGGCCGAGCGCTGTCTGCGGCCACACACGCGGCAGTCCGGGAGTGCTGTGTGAGTATTCGCAGCCATCGCCCAACAACAAGCTGGGTCCGGTGGCACTTTTCTTATTTAAATTTGGCTGTTAAGTGGATGAGACTTTGGAGAAGAAGAACATGAAAGCTGTGGACCTAGGGTTGCACCCTGTCTTGTTTTTTTTTCCCAAGACGTCCTTTGAGGCAGCTGTATTGGCGGCTGGGGGGTGGGGGGCAATGGTTTTGATTGGGGGGGGGGGGGGCACCACACCAAAGAGCTAAGTTGCGTATCGCGTTGTGAGCGGCCAGTGCTGGCGATTTCACATTTCATACGGGGAAATAATGGAGTCGAGCTTTCCCACACGTGCTCTTGACTGAGCGTTGACTACAGGCACGACGCATTGAGAAGCGCGGAGAGGCCACACTGACATCAGGACGAGAGCCAGTGGCACCCACCCTGCCTTGCTCCTGTGCATCTCATTGTCTTTCCTCCACCCCCTTCTGCGAGTCTCTTCCCTTGATGCCCGCAAGTCCACGAGCTGTGCTCTATTATTTAGCTCGTTCTTGTAGGCATGTGCTGATGACCCGATGCGTGCTGGCCCTCTTGCCGCAGGCCAGCGCTGCCTCTCAGAAGGACGCCAAGGGAGCTGCGAATGAGGAGACGTGGGGGGGCAGCGTCTTCCTGGCACGCAGCTCGTCGCAGCGCTCCCACGCCAGCGAGGCGTCCGCGTGCAGCGTGTTTGAGGAGTCGTGCAGCAGCGGTGTTGCCCATCAGCAGCAGCAGCCGCAGCCTCTCGGTCTGAGAGGCCGGCAGGACAGCACTGCCCAGCGCTACAGCACGGACCCAACGCGCTTCCACTCAGAGCCGCTGACCTCTAAAGTGGAAGGCAGTGACTACGCCACTCCAGCCACAAGCAAGGCCATTCCCGGTTTGTGTGGTCAGTGTGTTTTTGTTATAGGGGCACACTTGTGTTTATAGTTTGGGCGACAATGAGGCAGAGCTCGAAACGGAAATGAGAAATGCGTTTTTTAAGGTGGTGGTTTTGTGGCACAGGAATCTAGCAGGTCGTTGTGTAGTTCGTGGGCTAATACGATGTCAGAGTTGTGAATGAAAATGTCTTCATGACATGACAATTATTCCGTTGGACAACTGAAATGTAATTTGGGGGAAAAAAAGCAAATAAATTGAAAAGAGACTCGAACGCTCTATCAGTTTTAAAGAACTGAATCAGCACAACTGGATTTTAATTCCAGGATATTCAATGTAATTATAATACGTTTCATAAAGAGGTTCTCACCTACAGTATAGTAAGTTTTGTCCGTCTTGCTGAATAATATTCAAAAAAAGTTTGGGTAGTTTTTGCTGAAATTCGAAGCAGACTTTTATGATTTCTTCAGATGATGGATGTAGAAAGAAAATAAATTGGTATATATTTTTTTACTTAAATAGCTAGCACAGAAAATAAAACGTTTCGTATTATATAAACATATATTAATGTTTGAAAACGAATGCCTCTGCAGACAAAAGACTGCACTGATCAAGTTTACTTCTTGGCTTGGCACGAAGAGCTGCGATATTGGATGTCGAATTTTTCTAGGGTCCATGTCATCCTGGACTGGGCCCGCCGATTCACAATCTAAGACCTAATTTCCGTTTTGAAGTTTTCGTGACTGCAAGGATTCATGCTCTTTGTTTTTTTTCTTGTAAAGTCACGTAGGTAAAAAAAAGAATTAAATCACGACGTTTCGGGCGCAACACAAGCGTCCTTAATCTGTGACCTGTCTCTGAAGCTTCACTGCAAACACTCTGGTGGTGGTGGGCCTGCGGCAATTCTCATGCCTCGCCTCAAGAAGGGGCCCTGGGTTCGTGTCGCCACTCTGGTGCCGTTCTATGGCGAGTTTGTGTGTTGCTATGGAGAGTTTGTGTGTTGCTATGTAGAGTATGTATGTTGCTATGTAGAGTCTCTGTGTTGCTATGTAGAGTCTGTATGTTGCTATGTAGAGTTTGTATGTTGCTATGTAGAGTCTGTGTGTTGCTATGTAGAGTCTGTATGTTGCTATGTAGAGTCTGTATGTTGCTATGTAGAGTTTGTATGTTGCTATGTAGAGTTTGTGTGTTGCTATGTAGAGTCTGTATGTTGCTATGTAGAGTTTGTATGTTGCTATGTAGAGTCTGTGTGTTGCTATGTAGAGTTTATGTGTTGCTCTGTAGAGTTTGTATGTTGCTATGTAGAGTCTGTATGTTGCTATGTAGAGTCTGTATGTTGCTATGTAGAGTTTGTGTGTTGCTATGTAGAGTCTGTATGTTGCTATGTAGAGTTTGTATGTTGCTATGTAGAATCTGTATGTTGCTATGTAGAGTTTGTGTGTTGCTATGTAGAGTTTGTGTGTTGCTATGTAGAGTCTGTGTGTTGCTATGTAGAGTCTGTATGTTGCTATGTAGAGTTTGTGTGTTGCTATGTAGAGTTTATGTGTTGCTATGTAGAGTTTGTATGTTGCTATGTAGAGTTTGTATGTTGCTATGTAGAGTTTGTGTGTTGCTATGTAGAGTTTGTATGTTGCTATGTAGAGTTTGTGTGTTGCTATGTAGAGTTTGTGTGTTGCTATGTAGAGTCTGTATGTTGCTATGTAGAGTCTGTATGTTGCTATGTAGAGTTTGTATGTTGCTATGTAGAGTCTGTATGTTGCTATGTAGACTCTGTATGTTGCTATGTAGAGTTTGTGTGTTGCTATGTAGAGTCTGTATGTTGCTATGTAGAGTCTGTATGTTGCTATGTAGAGTTTGTATGTTGCTATGTAGAGTCTGTATGTTGCTATGTAGAATCTGTATGTTGCTATGTAGAGTTTGTATGTTGCTATGTAAAGTTTGTATGTTGCTATGTAGAGTTTGTATGGTGCTATGTAGAGTTTGTGTGTTGATATGTAAAGTCTGTATGTTTATATGTAGAGTCTGTATGTTGCTATGTAGAGTCTGTATGTTGCTATGTAGAGTCTGTATGTTGCTATGTAGAGTTTGTATGTTGCTATGTAGAGTCCGTGTGTTGCTATGTATAGTCTGTATGTTGCTATGTAGAGTTTGTGTTGCTATGTAGAGTTTATGTGTTGCTATGTAGAGTTTGTATGTTGCTATGTAGAGTTTGTATGTTGCTATGTAGAGTTTGTGTGTTTCTATGTAGAGTTTGTTTGTTTATATGTAGAGTTTGTATGTTGCTATGTAGAGTTTGTATGTTGCTATGTAGAGTCTGTATGTTGCTATGGAGAGTTTGTATGTTGCTATGTAGAGTCTGTGTGTTGCTATGTATAGTCTGTATGTTGCTATGTAGAGTTTGTGTTGCTATGTAGAGTTTATGTGTTGCTATGTAGAGTTAGTATGTTGCTATGTAGAGTTTGTATGTTGCTATGTAGAGTTTGTTTGTTTATATGTAGAGTTTGTATGTTGCTATGTAGAGTTTGTTTGTTTATATGTAGAGTTTGTATGTTGCTACCCCTGCGCTGCATGGATTTTCACAGGACTTGGTTTGTTTCCTCCCAAAAACAACCCATACAATGTACCTGTCAATGTCCAAAATCATCCCAATGCAGAAGCATGATCTACAAATCCATCATTCTGGGATGACACCGAGCAACATTATTGTCTCCAGCGAAAAACATCTTGTCCGAGCCCTCCAGAAAGAGTGTCTGGGGACTGGGTGAGGCTATCCCAGGTTTAAAATGAATAAATAAGAAGAGCAACATTAGGATGCAGCTGCTATCGAAGTTTGTTTGAGGTCGTACTGCAGTATTAGCATTTCCTTTGCACTCAAGGCATTAAGAGAAGATAGTTTGTAACTCCAGGCCTGTTGTCAACCCCAGCGCTCTCCTAACAGCCATGCTAGCGAGGGACTGGATTACAATCAACGAACACTTTCTGTCGCTCTCTGATGTGCGTGAGCTGTCGGTTTCTTTTCATAGACACATTCATAGACACATTTATAGACACATTCATAGACACATTCATAGACACATGTATAGACATTTATAGACACATTTATAGACACATTTATAGACATTTATAGACACATTCATAGACAAATTTATAGACACATTTATAGACACATTCATAGACACATTTAAAGACACATTTATAGACACATTCATAGACACATTCATAGACACATTTATAGACACATTCATAGACACATTCATAGACACATTTATAGACATTTATAGACACATTTGTAGACACATTTATAGACACATTTATAGACACATTCATAGACATTTATAGACACATTCATAGACACATTTATAGACACATTCATACACACATTTATAGACACATTCATAGACACATTTATAGACATATTTATAGACACATTTATAGACACACTCATAGACACATTCATAGACACATTTATAGACACATTCATAGACACATTTATAGACACATTCATAGACACATTTATAGACACATTCATATGCACATTTATAGACATATTTATAGACACATTTATAGACACACTCATAGACACATTCATAGACACATTTATAGACACATTCATAGACACATTTATAGACACATTCATAGACACATTTATAGACCCATTCATAGACACATTTATAGACATATTTATAGACACATTCATAGACACATTTATATACACATTCATAGACACATTTGTAGACACATTCATAGACACATTTATAGACACATTCATAGACACATTCATAGACACATTTATAGACACATTTGTAGACACATTTATAGACACATTTATAGACACATTCATAGACACATTTATAGACACATTTATAGACATTTATAGACACATTTGAAGACACATTTATAGACACATTTAGAGACACATTTATAGACATTTATAGACACATTTGAAGACACATTTATAGACACAATTATAGACACATTTATAGACACATTTATAGACACATTTGTAGACACATTTATAGACACATTCATAGACACATTCATAGACACATTTGTAGACACATTCATAGACACATTTATAGACATTTATAGAGACATTTATAGAGACATTTATAGACACATTTATAGACACATTTGTAGACACATTTATAGACACATTTAGAGACACATTTATAGACACATTTATAGACACATTCATAGACACATTTATAGACATTTATAGACACATTTAGAGACACATTTATAGACATTTATAGACACATTTGAAGACACATTTATAGACACAATTATAGACACATTTATAGACACATTTATAGACACATTTGTAGACACATTTATAGACACATTCATAGACACATTCATAGACACATTTATAGACACATTTGTAGACACATTCATAGACACATTTATAGACATTTATAGACACATTTATAGACACATTTATAGACACATTTATAGACACATTCATAGACACATTTATAGACACATTTATAGACACATTCATAGACACATTTATAGACACATTTATAGACACATTCATAGACACATTCATAGACACATTTATAGACACATTCATAGACACATTCATAGACACATTTATAGACATTTATAGACACATTTGTAGACACATTTATAGACACATTTATAGACACATTCATAGACATTTATAGACACATTCATAGACACATTTATAGACACATTCATAGACACATTTATAGACACATTCATAGACACATTTATAGACACATTTATACACACATTTATAGACACACTCATAGACACATTTATAGACACATTTATAGACACATTTATAGACACATTCATAGACACATTCATAGACACATTCATAGACACATTTATAGACATTTATAGACACATTTGTAGACACATTTATAGACATTTATAGACACATTCATAGACATTTATAGACACATTCATAGACACATTTATAGACACATTCATAGACACATTTATAGACACATTCATAGACACATTTATAGACACATTTATACA